TAGATAGGGAACAACCTAGCAACTGAGTCAGCCACGATGGGGCTTCTGGCATGGCCTACTCTTAGATGGGCATCCGGGGAGCTGGAAACGTCGAACTTCTTTTCAGACTCTTGAAAGATTCTGTTAGAGGATGAACCTCCGCTGTACTTTGCAGTTTTACGCTCATCACCTCCACATCACTATGAGGCGGTTGACCACCCCGGCGACCATATAACATGAGGTTCGATAAATTAGTTCCAAAAAAGGTAGAAGGAGCTCTGACAATTTTGTCCATATGTTAGCGTTTTCGCATGAGTTAAAAATTAAACAATTTAAAAATGATTAACTTCTCGACAGAATCTCGACAGTGAAGATGCCTATAGAAGCCCTCAATTGGGCATCAAACTACATGTTATACGATTTTCTAGCGCTAGCATACGCATGCAGCGCCAGTTTGGAGCGATGTAGGTTTCGCACGGTGGCTCCTAACAACACTTTTCCCCTGCTCCTCACCTCCCCTTCCTCCCTTCCTTCTCCTCCCAGTTTCTTAATTAGTGTTTTAGTCATAAATGCATATCAATCATGTAAATTGTGGACATTACAGCTTTCTACTATAGTCTGTAGTACGATAATGGTTGGCTTTGTATACGGAGCAGCAAGCTTTATCCGTCATCTTCCAAAGGTGGATATAAGCTGCAACTAATAGTATTGTGCACCGATTACCTAACTAATTTTTAGGCTATTTTGGGTTGCATAATAGTTGTTGCGATGAAAGATCTTTTTATTCAGCTTGTACGAGGTTTTCATTTGTGCAAAGAAAGCACCGTGGACTTTGTAAGCAATCCCTCATTATTGTTCTGTTTTTGAATTGTTAAAACTTTTTTAGATGATATTTTTTGTTACATTAGTATCCGTTATTCTAATCAATGTAAATAGTGGTCTCATTATTGGAATAATTTTTGCTCTGCTAACAGTAGTATTTCGAACACAATGGTAAGTAAAAGAAATGAGGATTGGTGATGATAGTTTGTCTTGCTTTAAGGGCTGACAGCTTCTGCATGGGTCGAATACCAGGAACATCAGATTTTAAAGGTTTGGGTCATTACCGCAGTGCAGAAGAAATTCCTGGTAAAGATTGCACCAGCTATTTTTGATAACAACATTTATGGTGATAAAAATCAGTAAACAATGAATAACTGATTAACAGAACTTAGTAATACTCTATGTTCGATTTTCAATGAATCTCGGCATCGTTGAGCGTTGAGCCATAGCCCAGGACGGTTTATGAGGCTTACGTTGCGGCTTATTCGCCTACATCAGAGCCTGTAAAGTGGGGAACAAATGAGATGCACTCCCCCAAACGTTTCCATCACTTGCAGGAAAGACTCTTAAAGTTGAACAAGTGTTGGCTTAGAAGCCTATGAAAGGCAGCTCACTTTATGATGTTGAGGAAATCAACCACGACCATCGTAGTCACACGTCAGTGTAAATGAGTTTGCCCTGGAGAGATTTATATGCGGGATGTAGGTCAAAACCCGCCCAAATCCAGGACAGCGCGACTTTTGTTATGGCAATGCATTCCTCTTGCTTATTCATTTTTGGATCCCTTGCGGAAATAAAACAGGCTTCTAGGGTCTGGGGCACCGCCTCCTCAGCTTCTCGCGATAGAATTGAGATCGCGACTTCAAATTCAGTGTT